ACCGCCTGCAAGGACAGGTTCAGACGATTTACCATAGATTCTCTCAGAGACTGGATTTGAGTTGCACTGGTTCGCGCATCGGACACATACCTCTCAACAACGGTGCTGTCATCTGCGTACCCAAAGATACCGGGCTGGAGCAGGTCATTAATGTGCAACAGAAAAAGTGTTGCTGAGAGTACTGACCCCTGAGGAACCCCGGCATTAATACCAAGTGGATTGGATGAGCAGCCGTCAATGACCACACGGATGGATCGATCCCTCAGGAAGTCTGTTATCCATCTGCACAAACCAGTGGGGAGTCCATATGCGGGAAGCTTGCCAACAAGACTATCGTGCCAGACCCTGTCGAAGGCCTTCGAGACATCGAGCGATACGGCTAACGCTTCTTTTTCCGAGTTATATGTACTTTCTAAGAATATTCAGACAGCACTGACAAACGGTGAAGGAAAACATCTTGAGGAAACCTGAGCTTATAACTTCTAAGTAGGTATAAGTTTGTAATCGCCAACTCTCATTGAGCAAGCGTGGTGATTAATCCTCAAACCTTTGGCGTGTGAGAAGAGGCATTTGGTAAGCAGTGGCCACTTATAAGCTGTTGATGATGATGATTACTATTTTTAAACATAAATCTATTTCATAAAGTCCTCTTAAAAAAGAACTAGCATTATAAGTGTATCATATCAAATTCTTTATTAATTGGTGTCAATTAATATTAGCTATGCAGATTAAAGTCATGGAATTAATATTAGCTTGTTAAACACTCATTCTGTATACGACTTTGTCCTTGTAGTACTTATAAATACATAGTGTCTTAAATTAATCTAGGTCTTAATCTACGCGGCGAACGTAACAGGTTGCCGGGGCTCCGGCTCGAAGTGCAGGAGTAGGAACGGGGTGGTGATTAGTCAGTAAGAGTCTGACACTCCCTCCCGCCTCACCCAGACAGGAGGATATATTGTTTAACTAAGAAAATACCTCTTTCATTTGTTTAAAAGCTTTTCATTAATTATTTTCTTTATAGTGAAATTATGACAGATCTCTGTTCTTTAGTCATTTATAAGACACAGACAGTTATTTTAAAAGATAGCGAGAATTTGACGTCGTTTTAATTTTCGTAACGTTTTTAGATAATGAGAATTGAGAAATGAATAATGAGAATGAGGTAATGAAAATTGAGTATCTGATGGTTTAGTTGTTACAAGTTCGACTGTCGAAGAAAATTAATTTTTTGAGGTGAGAAAATCATCGAATGTCTGCTCCCGTCTGGGTGAGGCGGGAGGGAGTATCAGACTCTTACTGACTAAAAACCATCCCTTTCCTTCTCCTGCTTTTCAAGCCGGAGCCCCGGTAACCCGTTAGGTGGGTTCTCCGTGACTCCGAATCGGCATCAGCCCTATTGGGCCCCATCTGTGGTGGTCTGATGGCTCTTTGAGGCGCGTTCTGAACGCGACGCGCCGTACACTCGGGTCTGTCGCGGAGAACTTAACGGGTAACCGGGGCTCCGGCTCGACGTGCCCTCCCGCCTCACCCAGGCGGGAGCAGTCATTCGATGATTTTCCCCCCTTAAAAAAAAAAACACTCGGGTCTGGTTCTGGTTGGGCGGCGAGCCACCCATGCTCACCGTCCGCAGGCCCGCGCTTACGGTGGCCGGAGATCGTCCCGCGATCCCCGACGCCCGGAGTGTCCTTCGCGATGGCTGGGTTGCGAGGAGGCAGCGCTTCGCTGCCTCACGCGTCCTGCCTCCTCCGTAGCTAGCATGACTGCTTCGCAAAAGAAGGAGACGGCATCCCAGTCCATCGCTCCGCATTGGGATAACACATAGGATTCTTAAACCACTGGAACGTCGATTAAGCTGGCAGAAGTTAGTTTTCGATATAAAAACGAGGTAGTCTACCTTTCATAACTCGTCTGTCTGATGGTACGATGGCCGACCGCCTATCAGGAAAGACATTGGCTTTTACAAGGTATATACAATACGGAAGGCTTACAATCCAGGTCAGGGTTAGACCGAGGTAATCTTAAACCTATTTTTAGTAGCAAAAGGTTTAAAATTGAAATGCATTATATTATGTGTTATGTATATAATATGATGCGAAGTCATGAATGTATTTCGTCCAAGGTACTTTAGTAGTTTTAACTTTTGCTCATGATTTTGTATTCGTATAATATTCAGATTTTAGAAGTCTGAGGTCGCAGTGTATAAGGTTCATGTTTATCAGAGAGCGCTGCGGTCCCGTCGGTCGTCTAATGTGTAGTCCTTTAGTCGGGTATACCACACCTGCGGGAATAGTAGCGATGCTGACAAATGTATTCTACGATACTCAATTGACACAACACAGCAAACATCGTCTGAATTTACATATTACAGTACAGTAGACGAGTAATTTTTATTTATACGAAAATAAATGCTTTCACAGATATATTGATTTGAAATATCGCGTGACGTCACTTCTATGTACATTTTATACGTAGAAATGACCCCCCACTCCTAAACTTTGATTGGTTTTATCTAAGCATAGTTTTCTTATACGACAATATAAAAAAATACGTGTCTAATATTTTTCAGACTGCCTCGTTGGCCGAGTGGTCGCAAGTGCGACTGCCGCGCAAGGGGTCTCGGGTTCAATTGTCTGTTGTATTACTGGTTTTTTTTAAAATAAATTCTCAGTAGTAGCACGGAGTCTGGAGCCCGGTATATGGCAGTAGGCTTACCCCCTATTACATGGGACTCATAACATAAATAGTGAGAAGTGGGTGTTACATTGTACAGTGGCATTAAGTGCAGTAATGTGCCAAGGTAGTTGTTGTTATTTTCATACCCCGTCATCATCCCTTTTCTAAAGGAACTATGAAGAAGCGATATAAGTCCTTATTTTAGAACGGGGGCTATATTTAGCCAAACTTTATAAGGATTCTACGATCGTTACGCAATTGTAATAAAATACTGATCCCATATAAATTGTATATTTGTTAATTAACTCGGAATTTCGTAATTGTATAAATTCTGGTTCCTCGAACCCACATCGAGGTGCTTCAGAAGTCAGTTCTAGCTTCTGCTCGCGATAGTCTCCCCAATCCCCGAATCCCCCACAATCCTCAAATTCCCAATTCCCAAACGGCCGGTAACGCACTTGTAACGCCTTTGGTGTTCCAGGTGTCCATGGGCGACGCCGATTGCTTACCAACAGGTGATCCGTCTGCTCATTTACCGTCTTTTTGCAAAATAGTAATACTTATATATAACTAAATCTGTTGAAATGTCCGTGCTCATCCCACCGTAATTGGACAAAGAGTTAGTAATACTGTTTTGTGATACGAATGACAATAAGGCTACAAATAAATCTATTCTGTTATCTTGTCAAAGGCAGTTTAATTATATTATCCGAGGTTTAATTTAGATGCAGGGTTCATAAAGCTACCTTACGTCCTGGCCACGAGAATCGGGGTGCGAACAGCGGATATGCAGGCGACGCGACACGTTTGCCGCCACAACCACAGAGTATTTTTTTTAAGGGGGATAAATCATCGAATGACTGCTCCCGCCTGGGTTAGGCGGGAGGGAGTGTCAGACTCTTACTGACTAATACCCACCCTGTTCCTTCTCCTGCACTTCGAGCCGGGGCCCCGATAACCCGTTCTGCGACTCCGAATCGGCATCAGTCATCGCCGCTTTTCGTGACTTGCTTAGTACATTTCTATGTGTTTGTTTCAGTCGCTAGGCGCCTTACTGGTCGCACCTCATGTTTCGTTGCTAGGCTTTTAAATTGTGTAAAATTTTCAACCAGTGTATTGTTTTTGTTATTGTTTTTTTAAAAGGGAACATCATCATGCAATGTATTCTCTTGCCTGACACTCCCTCTCGCCTTGGGTGAGGCGAGAGGGAGTGTCAGTCTCTTACTGACTAAAAAGTACTAAAAACCACCCCGTTTCTGCTAGCGGAGATTGATCTAGACTACATTTTTGATTAAACCGCAGCGGATAATCGTTGGTAAACATTGAGAATCTTAAATTTTTCCAAACAAGGAAAGATACTTCGATTTATTCGTACGGATTTTCCAAGGCAACATCTTACAGGAAGGAAATAGCTCTGTAATTTGTAGCCATTAGATACAGAAATACGAAGAACTCTGTAATTGCTAAATAGTACTAATCATTTAACTATTAACTGTTTCCTTACATAATTATTACGTTACTAATTCTAGGAATAAATAGCAAATCACATTTATGGGACTCATGACATAACCAGTACCGTATTTACCACAAGCATTCGGGGACCGTGCCCAGAGTCCTCATCCTCAGGGACAATCATTTGGAATATCATTAAACTGTCAAATACCAAGCGGTCACCGGTGACCGCAACCTATTGTTCTATAATTGTGTCTATATTGACGGTACTCGACGAGTTAAAACTATGTAACTAGAGTATTGTATTGTAAACCTGATTGAAAAAGTGTAACCTATGGAGTTTATTGCTCGTTCTTCTCCATTGGAATCTATAGCTACACCATGAGCAAATAGCCTCACTTTTATTTATTTTTGTTGACGTTCAAAAGTGCCATCGTGGTCTAATTGAAATAAATGATTTTGACTTTGACTTTGACTTTGGACCAACAATTTCGACGACGGACACATCTGCTACGCGGTGACCGGCAACTTGTGCCAGTTTTTTTACTCTTTTTACAGTTCTTTATTTTTACCGACATCAAAAAAAGGAGGAGTACCTCCTATGGCACCGACTTCTTACCTATTAGTGGGTGGGTAACGTATCAGTACTAATGATAGTTATTTTTTGCTTTTCAGTTTTGACTTTTTGTTTGTTATTTGTTTTTGTTTTTTTTTCGTCTGTATTTATTTATTTATGCTTACGTTATTCTGAATAGTGAATAGGTAGGTATGTATTTACACCTCTGCCCGGTATTTCAGTGATTAAACTAGATAAGATTTCTTTAATTTTTTTTAAAATATGTTCTCAAATATCGTTTCGTTTTTGTTCGCAGGTAATTAGGGGTGTGCATATAGAACCCGCTCACATAGTCAAAAAACGCAGCATAGATCAACCTTTACGAATAAGTATATTTTATGACCACTCTGTATATAGGTAAGTACCTCACTATTTATTTACTGTTTTGTGTCGACTTTTCTGTAAGATTTCCTACAGCGTGCTACATGTCACACAGCTTGCTACGCGCAGTAGTTACAGCTGTGTACAGTCTGTCACTCTCTCAGCACTCCCCTACACTCCTACAGCGCGCTACATGTCACACAGCTCGCTACGCGCAGTAGTTACAGCTGTGTACAGTCTGTCACTCTCAGTACCGACAACGGAAGACTTTTAAAAATAAAGATGGCCTTTGACATTATATTTTAATTGAAAGTTAAATCACGTTACACAATATTTATTATGTCTAGACATTAAGGACTGATTGATACGCATATGAATTGAATCAATGTCCTGTATCAATGTATGATAATATATTCATGATTGAAATATATGTTGATATAAATAATATATTTAAGTCAATATGTACGCATAATAATGATGTTTACTTACATAGTCACATCACATCACATCAACAGCCTATAAGTGCCCACTGCTGAGCAAAGCATCTTCTCACTAGTAGAAGGTTTGAGCATTATTCACCACGCTTGCTCAATGCGGGTTGGCGATTTCAAACTTATAATTGGAAATTATAAGCCCAGGTTTCCTCACGATGTTTTACTTCACCGTTTGTCAGTGGTGTCTAAATAATCTTAGAAAGTACATAAAACTCGGAAAGAGTCACATTGGTACTTGCCGTTGGTAGTTTTCGAATGGCGCTCATGTATGAGAAGCGTGCGTCTTAAACCTCCGGGCCACCACAACATTCAACAATCATTAATCATTGTGAAATAACCTAACGGGTAACCGGGGCTCCACCTCGACGTGTAGGAGAAGGAACGGGGTGGTTTTTAGTCAGTAAAAGTCTGACACTCCCTCCCGCCTCACCCAGGCGGGAGCAGTAATTCGATAATTTCCCCCCCTTAAAAAAAAGTATAAAATATATTAAGTAATCGGCGTGGGAGAGCCATGCTTCCGCACGAATGGGCCGGCTTGACCGGAGTGATACCACGGCCTCACAGAAAACCGACGTGAAGCAACGCTTGCGTTGTGTTTCGTCGTATGAGTGAGGTTACCGGAGGCCCAATTACCCTCCCCTTCCCCAATCTCCCCAATTCCTGAATCCTCAACGATCCTCAAACTCCTAATCCCCAAAAGGCCGGTAACGCACTTGTAACGCCTCTGGTGTTCCAGGTGTCCATGGGCGACGCCGATTGCTTACCATCAGGTGATCCGTCTGCTCGTTTACCGGCTTATGCCATAAAAAAAAGTATTTCTAACCGGTTGGATTACTTTTTTCTCAAGCAGCGTCGTTTGCTAAAGGGGCAATGATCAATTAACTCGTCGAGTACCGGTTTTGTAGACACAATTATAGAACAATAGGTTGCGGTCACCGGTGTCCGCTTGGTGTTTGACAGTTTAATATTCCAATCCTTTTAGTTTATTTTGCTTAAAATAAATTGGATTCTAAATATATCAGTGATGAAGTTTAAGGAAAACATTGGAGTTTGGAGAAACCGACTAAAAAGAACATGGCACTTATTCATTTAAGTTGTTTGTTTGTTAACTTATTTCATTTTGTTCAAAACATGTGGTTGTAAATCATGAACTACTTTTTTTTAATTATTTTAAAAAACGTTGCCCCACACTAGGATTTTCCCCTGTGTCGTGGGTGCGTTTACAAACATACAAGTTCACATACACATGACACCCAGACCAGGAACAACTATTTGTGGATCACACAAAGTGTTGTTCCGTGCGGGAATCGAAACCCCGACACGTCGCACGGCACTGCACGCTGTGCAGTCAATACTGGTTTGAATGGAATAATTCTTCTTGTGTTGGGTAGTCCATTTATCGAAGAAGGTTATAGGACTATATGAGAAGGTTATAGGAAGGTTATTGGCCGTCTCGTTGGCCGAGTGGCCGCAAATGCGACTGCCAGGCAAGGGGTCTTTTTTTTTTAAGGGTGGAATATCATCGAATGACTGCTCCCGCCTGGGTGAGGCGGGAGGGAGTGTCAGACTCTTACTGACTAAAAACCACCCCGTTCCTTCTCTTGCACGTCGAGCCGGAGCCCCGGTGACCCGTTAAGTTCTACGAACTATGGCTGCTGGTAGATACAATGTACCCAGAGTCACCAACTATTTTGGTGATAGAACACTAAAAAAGAGAATACCATATCTATTAAACTGTCAAACACCAAGCGGTCACCGGTGACCGCAACCTATTGTTCTATAATTGTGTCTACAAAACCGGTACTCGACGAGTTAAATACTCTGCCGGCAGACATAAGGAGTGAAACAAATTCAAATAGGTTTAAACGAAAATTGAAGTCATATTATTTAGAAATGTCCTAATAATAAGTAAGTATAAGTTTCAACGCCTGTATAACATTTAAATATAAGTACATTTAATTGTAATGTCTAGTGTCTCGACCTCGCAGTCACCATTGCAACCATTGCAACGGTTTTGTGGGGCTTAGGTTATAAAATACTTACCTTTGTGATATAAAGATAAATAAATTAAAAAAAAAATATTAGAAGGTTATAGGAAGGTTATTGACTGCCTCGTTGGCCGAGTGGCCGCAAGTGCGACTGCCAGGCAAGGGGTCTTGGGTTCGATTCCCGGGTCGGGCAAAGTTGTACTGGGTTTTTAAAAACTATTGATAATGAACTAGATAAACAATTAAAAGGTGACTTTATTGTCAAATACTAAATATACTATGCTAAATACTAAATACTATTTCAGACGCCATTTTGTTTACGGAAATCTGCGCAATTTACGTACTACTTAGTACTCACTGATTTATTTAAATAGTGATTTGACATTTAATTCTCTAATTTAAAAACCTAATCGCGTTGGTATTTGTTTATTGAGTCTAGCCCATAAATCACCAAGCGGTCACCGGTGACCGCTTTCCACTAATATTACATTACATTATAGACCTTATTTGTAATGTTTAGAGACTACTTTTGTATGACCAAATTTAGGGGATGGATTTCAACGGGCTAGACTAGATTTAAGTGATTGGTTGTTAAAAAGGTTGTAAATTAATTAATTTAATCCGCTGCATGCGTTGGTGCAGCTGCTTCTGCGGCAGAGGCCCTCAAACGGCGTAAATATTCAAATCTAGTGGGTAACTACTGTTTTGAGCCGTTTGGGGTCGAAACACTTGGGCCATGGGGTCCCAGTGCACACTCTGTGTTTAAAGATATCGCCCGTAGGCTAATCGACTCTACGCGTGACCAGAGGGCTGGCTTTTTCTTCGGACAGAAAATAAGCATTGCCATTCAACGTGGCAATGCTGCCAGTCTTCTGGGAACGTTCCCCTGTGATAGTGATGCGGACGAATACTTTGACGCCTAAATTAAGGGTATATTTTTTGTTGTATTCTTTTTTTTTACTTTCGTTTTATTTAATAGTTTAGTTGTAGTTAATTTTTAGTTGTAAATATTTATATAGTTATTTCTCTAAATAATAATTAATTTAATGATATTAGAGGTAGAAAAACAAGTGGCAGTCCAAATTTCATTCGGATTCCTTCAGCCGTTTTGACTTTATTCAGTGACAAACATATAGACAGACACGCAAACACACAAACTGACTAAATTATAAAATAATGTTCAAATCTCTATTACCTTGTAAATATCTAGACTCAGACTGAAATTGAGGTTAAATTGTTATGCTGAAAATCAAATTATATTTGGATAGACGAGTAAAATTTCCATTAATGAAACCTACACAAAAATATATGACCGGAATACATAAGTAGGTACAGAAGAACATCAGTATACACCAATCTACTACAGAGATTCAATCTATTTTCGACCATTATGACTGTAGAATAAAGTTGGGATTTGTGTGTAAGTTCTCGTCATCAGATGGAGTGAATACATCTAATGAGGCCAAATTAAATATGTGTTCTAGTACTATTAGTAGGCAGTCGAAGGTTCCATCAACCACCTTCCAAATCCATCATCAAACCAGCTTGATGGCACCATAAGGCTCGTACTCAAAACGCGGAAAATTACGACACGAGTTGCTGCGATGCGTTTTCGTGCGACAAGGCGTCTCCCAGGGTGACCATTCCTTCGACGACCGTCAACCGTACTAAACGTATTTTAAATTGAAAACTATGTCGTGACATGGATCGTAAAAAGAAGTGTGCGCTTCTGTTATTGCTTAGGAGATACAGGAAAAAGAAACAAAGAAGATTTTGGGAAGATAAGATTCTCACGCCCAGTTATATGGGACTCATAACATAAATAGTGAAAAGTGGGTGTTACATTTTACAGTGGCATTACGTGCCGTAATGTACACCTCTGATTACTCCTTAAGGAATAATCGACGGTTTTTTTATGACATAGATGATGGTAAGCAATCGGCGTCGCCCATGGACACCTGGAACACCAGAGGCGTTACAAGTGCGTTACCAGCCTTCTGGGGATAAGGTGTTTGAGGATCGTTGGGGATTCAGGAATCGGGGAGATTAGGGAAGGGGAGGGTAATTGGGCCTCCGGTAACCTCACTGACACGACGAAACACCACGCAAGCGTTGCTACACGTCGGTTTTCTGTGAGGCCGTGATATCACTCCGGTCGAGCCGGCCCATTCGTGCCGAAGCATGGCTCTCCCACACTTAAATGATGTTATACTATGTATTATGTAGTTATAGTTTGTCGTTGTTGCCTATGAAAGTAATATAAGCGTGTTTAAATTGCAAAAGCTTTGGGTGTACCTAACAATATTTTAATTATTTTTCGTTTTTCTGTTTCAGGTTAGAGCCGGAGAAGTTTGATATGATCAATGTAAGTTTACATATCAGCATTATGAAACACTTTTCTGATAACCGCATCAAAAACGGTTCAGCCAATCGCGAGATAATCGCGCACAAACATACATAACTAAGAAGTAATTAAGACTGCATGGTTGGTGCGGTGGCTGCCGTGCAACGGGTAGCGGGTTCGATTCTCGCACGGATCAACTCTTTGTTTGTTTTTCCGATTGTTGTTCCGCGTCTGCGTGTCATATGTATGTGAACTTGTATGTTTGTAAACGCACCCACATCTCCTGTGTGGAGAGAATACTAGTGTGGGCCAACGTTTATTTAAAAAGAAAATGATGTCGGTTAAAAATGAAACTTATTCAAGATTTTAGTTTTAATGGGATAAGCCGGTAAACGAGCAGACGGATCACCTGATGTTAAGCAATCAGCGTCCCCCATGGACACTCGGAATACTAGAGGCGTTACAAGTGCGTTACCGGCCTTTTGGGGATTAGGAGTTTGAGATTCGTGATCCATTACTAATTTCATCCGCAACTAAAATATGTCTCATCTAAGTCAAAGTCAAAGTAAAAATGATTTATTTCAATTAGACCAGGAAAGCACCACGAACGTCAACAAAAAAAATTTTGCAGTGAAGCTAGTTGCTCATTCCAAGGTGTAGATTCCTATGGAGAGAAGAACGAGCAAGAAACTCCATAGGTTACTCTTCATAGGGATATGTATTATGGGTTTCTATTAAAATATTCGTGACACATACTAAATTGATTATAATATTATATTATTATTATATTTTCGCAAACTCACGTAACTGTTTGACCACATCTAAAATCTGAGTCAGACTACAATGCTGCGGGTCTAGAGTGTGGCACAGTGAGCGCAGTATGTAACACTGTATTTGCGTCGACCCGGGATTCCAATTCAGCATCAACGCAGCCACCGGCGAACGTGCCAAACGTGCCAGTGTTGAAGTATGTGCGCGTGAATCACGACAGAGAGCGATGGGCCCGCACCGTAGCAGACTTCAGTAGCCAGCGGCAGCGCGACCGTCACCGCGGGTCGCGGAATGCTGCTCATGAATAAAAGCCTCTAGCATGGCTTGACACTGGTCAAGTTCTTAGTCAAACAGTTACATGAGTAAGCTGAAAACATAATGATTAATTGTATTATGTTTTTTTCCAGAACACAATTTTACCTGAAGCTGTGAAGTTTTGGGAGCAAGCACTGAAAGTTAGAAAAACTGGTGGACCTATTAAATTAAATAGGTAAGTCATGTTTAGTCATTTTTAATAGTTACTAGACCAGACATTTTTTTCTCCTCTATTAATATCTTCTGAATTATTTCGTTGCGGGATCCAAGACAGGTATTCATGTCCCTGTGACGCACCGGACTTCAGTGTACCAGTGTTTGCATGGTTGTATCTACTGTAGATCCTGTTGCACAGGAGTTGCGGCGGTTTTGGGAGGTTGTGGCGGACTTGTACCCACGGCTACACATCGAGCTGTACATAACCAGTATAAACTGAACGTTAAATGTGCGGAAAGATGATGCGACGCGACACCAGGATACACTGGTTTTGTATAGATTGATGTGTAGCCGTGTGTACCATTAAAAATATAAGTATCATCGTATCATGCAATCAGCCACGTACGGTCCCCTGCCACCCTCAGTCCTCCCCCGTAGACTACACATCGCGAGGTTGGAAGTGGAAGTAAAGCAGCGGGTAATAATAATATTATGGGTAAAATTTTATCCAATTCGAGAGAATTCTAAAAAAAGAGAAGGTCTCAAAGTAGAATTAAATAAAAATGAACAAAATAAATTATATTATTTTTTACAATATTATGTCCTCGATTCCTAGGAAGCACTCTCGCGTTCGCCATATTAAATTATTTTGTTTTAACCTGTAAAAGGGTTTTGTAAAATAAAACAAAATACGTAGTTTTAAAATATATATCTATTTTATACATATATGTATTATTCTAGATATCAAAAAAGGCCGAAATTATCTAGATTTTCTTTTCAATGTTGACATGTTATAAATGTACTGTTTTTAGAGTGTATTAAATAAGTATCTATTGCAAGGAGAACCTTGTTTCACTGACGGATAGACTGACATACTATTCTATGTTAACAATTAATTTAGTCATAGTTTCTATAATATTATACATATAATTCTATGTTAAATGAAACTTAAAACTACATTTTTACAGATTGTGTTCTAAGTTATTATTTATAAGTACATTATGTCTAAGTATTATATGTACGTTGTTCTCTGTGTCCCTGTTCGATTCAAAATCGTAAATATATATATATCACAATTACCACCAACTTGGTGATTGTAAAATTCTAATATAATATTTATATATGTAGACTAAATTATATAATAATTATAATATAATACAATATCCCGCATTTTATCATCCGAAGGGGTAAGGAGTGCATATTACGGCACTTAATGCCACTGTACAATATAACACCCACTTTTCACTATTTATGTTATGAGTCCCATGTAATATGGGGTGAGTCTATTGACATATACCGGACACAATTCTAGACTCCGTGCTACTACTGAGATTTTTTTTAAACCCAGTAATACTTTGCCCGACTCGGGAATCGAACCCGAGACCCCTTGCCCTGGCAGTCGCAGCCAACGAGGCAGTCGCCATTCATATTATAATATTTGTTTAGTGCTATTTTCCGTGGACCTTACAATTAAGGAAACTTAGACTTATTCTAAAATGAATAATGATGATTTTAATAATGATAATGATCGTTTTTCATGATGATATTGATCTAATATAGGTATTTATATTAAGTAACCAATTAAATGAATTAAACTGTCAAACACCGCGAGGTCACCGGTGACCGCAACCTATTGTTCTTTAATTGTGTTTATAATGACGGTACTCGACGAGTTAATCTCCGGAGGACAAAGTATTATTAGGTATTTAAATAAATTTTTTGCAAAAAAAAAATACACCAGATATCAATAAAAAATATTTTATAACAACTATCGTGAGACATACTAAATTAACTAAATATTGCGGGTTCGAAACTAGTAGAGGTTTTCTTAGTATTTTCACGTGAGTAACCCGCGATTTTTAGTTAATATAAAATTACTTGTGATTTCGTTAATCTTAGAAACGACTGGTTCAATTTGCATATTATTATTTTGTGTTAGGCAATCAATTATCGAGAAAGACTATATAATTAAGTTATAAAACCTCACACTACGATCCATAGGCGACGAGCAGTGAAAACGAGAGTAGTAGATGCTTAAAAAGGGCAAGTAGACTTAGTTTAAGTGATGTAATTAACTTTTTTACCCACTACAGGAGACACATAACCGATTTGGTTGTTACAGCTTGGACAGTAGTGGTTGTTGTACTTGAAGTAGTCGGTGCAGTAGACACAGAAGATTGAGAGAGGGCTGTGAAAAAACAAAAAAGAGTTGATAAATGTAACTCAGTTTTAGCACACACTTGCCAATATTATAGGGATGATGACGAACTATGACGAACTATGAAGAATCAAAGTCAAAATAATTTATTTTGTTTAGACCTGGGTGCTAATTCTTGAAACCAATTCCAATGTCAATGCAATTTTAATGCAATAAAATCTCAATAATTATTCAATGTCAAAACTATACAACCACAATCGTAGCTGTTAATATAGCATTCAGAGTACGGAATATAAAGCCAAACTCTGTCTCATTTAGTTCATTCAATATCCACGCAATACGGATGCAATGGGCGCTAGTGTTGCAACTCAAGAGTACGAAATTTTACAATACCAATGTCGATCGATCGGAATTGGATTCAAGAGTAAGTCCACAGAACATTTGAACGTCAACAAAAAACTTAACTTGAAGCTGTTTGCTCATTCCAAGGTGTAGATTCCTAAAGAGAAGAACAAGCAAGAAACTTTATACTTATATAGGTTACTCTTTTCCAATCAGGTTCACAATACAATTCTCTAGTTACATAGTTTTGTTGGTTCGATTGTGTGAGAACAGTGTAGCACCAAAATCCAGTCAAAGTATGAACATTTAAAAATCTATTTAGTCCATCAGTTAGGCAATGGAAAAATATTAAACACGTACTTTTTTTATTTTGTCGTGTAAAATTGTATAGTATTCTGTTAGACGACGAAAATCAACTAAATGAACGTCACTAGTATAATCTGTGTTATCGACAGCACTAGCTGTCATGTCGACGATGTCATCTGTCAAATGTGACAGATTAGTAAAGTTTCCCGCGCAAAAGTGGTAACGCATGATTCTGGTGGAAAGTTTCACGAGCATCACGCTGTGTTCTTATAAGATCCATTTAGAATTAACTTTTCAGTATACAATTATTGAGTATTACTTAAAAATTCCTATCACACAATCGGAGACCGATCGAACGACTTTAGATTATAATTATAATAGCTTATTAATTTCGACTGTAAGTCAAATTAACACAGAAAAGGGCATACTTACAACATAAAAAAGAGTATACAAGCTATGACATGTGTCATAGGCCCGTTCTCTTTGACAACCAGCGTATGTACCCGGGATCCACAATGATGACAGATGAGGTTCTTTCTCTCGTAGTTCATAGCTGATAGAGGCAGGTTTGTTACTGGGCTGGAGTAGTCTGAAATATACATTAGGATATGTACACACGGCTACACATCGATATTTACATAACCAGTATAAACTGAACGTTAAATGTGCGGAAAGATGATGCGTCGCCACACCAGGATAAACTGGTTTTGTATAGATTGATGTGTGGCCGTGTGTACATAAATGAGCAAATCAACACGATGCCACAAATCCTATATCGCATATTTGAAGTTTACATATGGATACAAAATCACAATGAACAACCGTTGGGCAGAAACCCCGCCAGCCAGGTACACCTCGCCTGGTCGGAGGATCCTCCTTTTCTGAACTTAAGGAACTCTATTACCTAAAATAGTCTAGTAATAGAAGGTTTATATGTATTATATATGCATATTGAACCCGTACGAAGCCGCGGCGGGTCGCTAGTCATACATAAATTTATCTTAAACTGTCAAACACCAAGCGGTCACCGGTGACCGCAACCTATTGTTCTATAATTGTGTCTACAAAACCGGTACTCGACGAGTTAATGTTATAAACACAAAATGGCACATACACATCACACCCAGATCCGAAAGAACTCGAAAGAAAAAGAATGTTTGCGTGGCGGAATCAAACCGGCAACATATCACGCAGTAGCTTATTGCCTAGGCACAATAATCAACTAGGTAGGTGCCAAAATCAGTAAAAATAACAAAAAAAAAATAGACGAACTCAATCAAAAACAAATGTTTAAAATGAAAGTTGATGAAGACTTACTTGATGTGATAACCTGCGTCATGGGAGCTGGAGAATAAACAGGATCTCTTCTAATGGACTCCACTCTCAAAGGCTCCAGAATGGGTTCTCTAGGCGTCTCTCTAGCAGGCTCTCTGGTAGGAGATGGAGATTGAGTAACAGGAGTCTCTGTGTAAGCCGGTGGTGGCTCTGGAAACTCCGAAATAGGAATAGGTGATATTGGAAACCCATCACTTGTATTCCCACCATATACTTGACTCTCTTTAGCCATAAAACTTGGCATTAATGGAGTCTGTCGTGATGATGAAGAGCCTGGAGTGTCTGCACCTGGAAGAGAAAATATCAGTCATTAATATTACCGATACCTAAGTACGTGTGTCGCCTGGACAGTCACCGCTACCATCAGTTGACTGGACAATCTATTTACATGAGCCGCTGTTTACATGTGAACATTAGCTCATGACGATACCTAAGTACGTGTGTCGCCTGGACAGTCAACGCTACCATCAGTTGACTGGACAATCTCTTTACATGAGCTGCTGTTTACTTACTTGAGCTTCCTCCAGCCAGGTTCAGGGTATTTGGTCTGATAGCCTGATGGTGTGATGAATTTGAGGATCCTGATTCGGAAGACGCACCAGATCTTGATTCATCTTTCACTGCGTCAATCCTTCGGTTTTCAAAGGGATCGTACATGATCGTGTCCTATAATTAATATTTTGTCTATTATTTTCCAAAAAGTCATACAGTCATTTATAATAGTTACCACAGGAGTCAATAAGTCGTATCGGGGTTTTATCAGATCTTTCCACGAAATTCCACGCATCGAAACGTACCTAAAACCATTGGTTTTGCAGTGTATGATATCACGTAGGTACTCTGCAAAACTATTACGGTCGTATGGTTCACCTGAATGATTTGGTCATAATGACTGGTACACCAACCATTCTACTGGTCATTTTGACCATATCATTTAGGTGAAGATTATTATTTTAGTTAAAATCACAGTGTATTCTAAATTCTATTTGGTTTCCTTTTTTGCCAAGATCCCGTGGTCGGCGTAATTTTCTTTTTTAATTAATTCACAAAATCGCCTATGTTTATTCTAATCATCATCATCATCATTGTTACTTTAACCCTTATTTAGTACTATATCTACCTGCACGAATTCCGGTTCATCATCAGTAGGAGTGACGATGCTCTGTGACACCTCGCTCCCAGCTTCAGGCATATCAATGTAGACCACAGGCGTCTCATCGATATCCTTTTTTGTGGTCTCTGCATTTTGTGTTGTGGTAGCTCTTGTAGGTGTGGTCTGTAATTTTGATAAAAGTAGTATAACATAACATAAAATCACGCCTAACACCATGGCACTTAATGCCACTGCACAAAGTAGCACCCACTTTTCACTATTTGTGTTAGGAGTCCCATGTAAGAGGTGAGCCTATTGCCATATACCAGGCACATTTCCAGACTCCGTGCTACTACTATGAAATTTCCAAAAAAACCCCGTAAAACTTTGCCCGACCCAAGAATCGAACCCGAGACCCTCACCAAGGCTCAGTAGTTGCACTTGTGACCTCATGAGCAGCGTGCGCGGTCGCGATGATGTCGCATAGTCTACCCGGGAAAAAACCCCTCTGTTGTGGTTCGAAACAAGTAGACCTTTCTCAGTATATTCACGTAAGTAACCCGCGATTTTTAGTTAATTTACGAAGAGTTTAAGTACATACCTGGGGACTACTGGGTCCATAGCTCGTCCCGGCTCTTGGCCCATCAGTCTGCAATGGTCGTCGTGGTAGATTGGCCCATCTGGCTGCTGTCTGGGGGTCTATCGTGGGAACGTCAGTTACGATGGGGTTCACGTAGGGATACCCTTGGTAACGAGGGTAAGGGTTACTGGCCTGGGGTGGGGGCTGTGTTATCTGTAATAGGACAAAAATAATTATAAAACCAATACTGAATGACATTAAATTTTAAGATGCTCTCAAAAGAGTCATTCAGTTTTCTTTTGTGCCTTTAGGCTTAATTCATTCTGTCTCCTGCAGTAATTTGCCGAGGGAAATGAAAACTATAGTTTTTTTCTTCTCCTTTTATAATATCTTCTGATTCACTTCGGAACCAAGGTTCCCGCAACAGTTATTCATGCCCCTTGGACGCGCCGGACTTCAGTGACTTAAATTTTAAGATGCTCTCAAAAATGGTTGTTTCTATATTTATCTTTCCATCCTGTCAAAGTTTATAATACATTATTTGCCCGTGTTCTCGTGGGGTAAAAAGTAGCCTATGTGTTCTAGATTCCAGACTATAAACTACCCGTGCCAAATTTCATCCTGATCCCTCCAGCCGTTTTGACGTGAAAGAGTAATAACCACACACACATACACACACACACACACACACACACACACACACACATATACATCCTTTCGCACGACAGTTTTCCATGAATTTTGTACGAGATTATGTATTGTGACGTCACGTTTTTTTAGCGTCAAACAGCATAGTTATTTCTTTAAAAATTTGCAGGAGAAATACTAAAATTAAGTTGGTTATTAGATCGATTAATAAAAGTGTGATTATTTTTTAATATTTTATTGTATTGAACAGTCGAAATGATTTCTTTTTGATTAAAGAATATACCCAATAGATGTTCTTTAACGCAAAAACTACTGAACGGAACTGAATGAAATTTTTTACTAGGATAGACTACTTATAGTAGGCGAATCCGCTAACAGAAACCAATACAAAATGAAATCTTTTTTATATACAGTGCGCATCGTCTTGCGGATCCGATTTCTGCAAATTTTGATAGTGCAAGCCATATGGAAACGATTTACGTTATGCTTCTGGAGATATATTTGTTTAGAAATAGATAATAGTAAATGTATTAGTGAGCCTGCCAAAACGTCAAGTGGTTCATGAATTGGTTTGCAAGCCAAATAATGGATAGTAAAGTCTATTATACACAACTGTCCCACGCCACGTATCGGCGACATATCAAGCGGAGTCTGATTTCGCCCGACATGTTATAAACGAGCATACGGATCGCCTGATGGTAAGCAATCGGTATCGCCCATTGACACCTGGAACACCAGAGGCGTAACAAGTGCGTTATCGGCCTTTTGAGGATTAGGAGTTTGTGGATCGTTGGGGATTCGGGGATTGGGGAGATTGGGGAAGGGGGGAGGGTAATTAGGTCTCCGGTAACCTCACTCACACGACGAAACACAACGCAAGCGTTGTTTCACTATAGTTTTCTGTTCGGCCATGGTATCACTCCGGTAAATATACTAAGAAAAGCTCTATTGATTTCGAGTCATAAAGGGACTCTTCTTCAGTATCGGCGTGACATCGCCGCTACCGCGAAGGCCGCTCATGAGGAACAGTCCTTCTATGACTCGAAATTTGCAGAGCTTCTCTCAGTATATTTACGAGGGTAATCCTGTAATTTTTAATTGAATTTGAACTTTCTCCATCTATCGTTTTGTAGTTTTAGTCAAAGCTTCAACATCAACAGCCTTCATGTGGCCACTACTGACTAAAGGCCTCTTCTTACACGGACAAGGTTTGAACATCACCATGCTTGCTTTAAACTTATAATTAGAAATTATAAGCTTAGGTTTCCTCACGATATTTTCCTTCGATATCCCATAAATAAGATTTAATGTCTAACAGGGTCAAACAGTGTCGTCGTAGCCCGGAGGCTTAAGACGCCCGCTTCTCATGTATAAGGGTGCGGGTTCGAAACCTACCAACGGCAAGTACCAATGTGACTTTATCCGAGTTATATGTACTTTCTAAGATTATCTAGACACCACTGACTAACGGTGAAGGAAAACATCGTGAGGAAACCTCGGCTTATAATTTCTAATTATAAGTTTGAAATCGCCAACCCTCATTGAGCAAGCGTGGTGAATAATGCTTAAACCTTCTCCGTGTGAGAAGAGGCTTTGCTCAGCAGTGGGCATTTATAGGCTGTTGATGATGCGGGTCAAAAAGGGGTAGAAAGATTAAAATTTTTATAAACTGGTATTGCGTTGCTATAGTAGTAAAAAAATCTTACTGTGACCGGCTGTGCATCGGATGGTATCTCAGTGACTATTGGTTTCACATACGGGTAGCCCTGGTACCTAGGATAGCCTCCACCCAGGCTCGACGACTGCATGTCCTGGAAAATAGAAATAAGATATAATAAGCAAGTGTGGTAGCTGGAAGTCATTGGGGGAGGCATTGGGCACCACACTGAGTTGGTTTTGACCTCGGCTTTGCATATTATAACGGAGTATTCGACGGATCTTGCTACTCTGAATTACCTGACTCTCTATTTCGGACGACTGTCGCAACTCCACAACGCCTATCGATTGGATATCGACGACATGGATCGCTGTATAAATTGTACGATTGCGATTGATCGCAGTAATCCTATTGGGAGAAAAATCTTGGAGAATGAGGTGATTTTAACAGTTATTCGTCAGTAGCGAAGTGAGTGATTCAAAAGTATTTCATGTTATACTATAACCTAACTTTTACTATAATTCAGATAAATTGTTTTCTAGGAAGCCAAATTTCACCAAATTCTCAGTTAAGCCTTCATATTATATCCTCTTACATATAAGGCTAATTTAATTTAGTTAACACCTGGGCCCAGGAATCTATGGAGCCATTCCCTTCTCCTTTGGATCAGGGGTAGGTTATGGTCTGGAGACATAGGCTACTTTTATCTCCAGAAGCGCGGGCGAAGACGCTGGCAGAAGCTTGTCCCAAATAAGGCATAGGCAGGCAAGGCAAGGCAGTCAGGTCATGTTTTTATAATAATTATCGTGAGACATACTAAATTAACTAAAATCGCGGGTTACTCACGTGAATATACTGGAGCAGCGTGCGCGGTCGCGGCGTCGTCGCTAAGCTCACTGTAAGCTCATGAGGAAGCACCTCTCCGTGGTTCGAAACTAGTAGAGCTTTTCTCAGTATATTCACGTGAGTAACCCGCGATTTTAGTTAATTCAATCAGGTCATATTTCTAGCACTGAATTTGCACTGTACCTTCATTAAACTTAATATTGACAGCCAGTAATCGTATAATCATATCGTATAAATAAAGGATTTGGTATACATAGATAATCGAGGCGATAACACAAACAAAATCGCATCGTTGTATTTGTATCTGTACATCACGCCTTAAATAAGTGGGTGTTACTTTTTAAGACTGCCTCGTTGGCCGAGTGGTTGCAAGTGCAATTGCCGGGCAAGAGGTCTCGGGTTCGTTTCACGGGTCGGGCAAATTACCACTGGGTTATTAAAAAAGTAGGACGGAGTCCGGAATTGTGTGCGGTATATGGCAATAGGCTCACCCACTATTACATGGGACTCATAACATAAATAGTCAAAAGTGGGTGTTACAGTGTACAGTGGCATTCAGTGCCGTAATGTACATCTCTGCCTACCCTTTCGGGGATGAAAGGCGTGATGTTATGTTATTGTGTTACTTTTTAAGCGGTGCCTTATAAGGGGCAATTGGAGCTAGTCCCCGAGTCGGTCAAAAAATATTGGGTGTTTTCGAATTTTTGGAAACTGCATGGTAATAACATTGAGTTTGCATTGAATGTTGTGATGAATGGATGGCAGAGAAGAAAATATTTGTCACCAGCTCCACACTGCGGGTGATACGGGGACTAAACATTTGATAGAGACCGGGCAGCGCTCTCTGATAATCCTGAACCTTATAAACTGCTATCTCCAAGTCCCAAGCGGAGATTATGTACCGTAAGCGCGGGCCTGTGGACGGCGAGCGTGGGTGACTCGCCGCCCGACCAGAACCAGACTCGAGAGTACGGCGCCGAGCGTTCCGCACGCATTTCAAAGAGCCATCAGACCACTACAGATGGGGCCCAATAGGGCTGATGCCGATACGGAGCCGCAGAGGACTTAACGGGTTGCAGGAGCCCCGGCTCGAAGTGCAGGATTAGGAACGGGGTGGTTTTTGGTCAGTAAGAGTCTGACAGTCTCTCTCGCCTCACCCGGGCGGGAGAGATCATTTTCCACTCCATCTCCATTTAGTTTAAGACAAATCCTCGTATTTGTTACTAGCTTTTACCCGCGGCTTCGCTTGCGTCACAAAAGGATAAAAAGTAACCTATGTGACATATACCAATACACACAGCGCCAGCTATACCGATAATTTCGTTTTCCCTTGAGAATATAAAATTTTTCCGGGATAAAAAGTACCCTATTATTTAATCCAGACAACTTAACGTCCGCAAAAATTCAAAGTAATCGGTTTAGTAGTTACGGCGTGAAAGCGGAACAAACAAACTCACTTTCCGATTTATAATATTAATAAGGATAGCCCAGTAGTGGCCTGAACAAGCAAGGAGCCTAGAATTGTCTCCGTGCTATTACTGAATTGTTTTTAAGCCTGCGTGTGTTTCAAGTAATAACAATAATGTTATAGAAACCCAACAATAAACTATCGTTTATTTTCTTCTCCTCTTATAATATCTTCTGTTTTATTTCGTTACGGGAACCAAGACAGTTATTCATGTCCCTGGGACGCGCCGGGCTTCAGTGTTCCGGTGTTTTAATAGTTGGTATGGTATGGTATCTACTGTAGATCCTGGCTTACTGCAGCGGTTTTGGGAGGGTGTGGCGGGCTGGTCCCAAAAAGCCCAATAAAAGAATAGATGTCTGACCTCGATATCGAATTCGCGCTAAAGACAAACTAGATCTATTAATCTAGATCTAGTTATAATATCTACAAATAAGGAAAAACTTATGTTTTCATACAAATATTGAAGTTTTTATCATGTTTAATGATATAAATAAATGCTATGAATGAATCATATTGCTGATTGATAAATTGATGACCCTCTGTTTCGAAGAAATCTAAATATAAACACAGTTCTTTAATAATAATGATAAAGATTAATTTCAAAGTATTACGGCAGAAATTAATACAGACATAACATCGCGCCTGTCTTCCATGGCCAGGCAGAGATTATGGAACACCAATTGCTACAATTCCTACATACCTCTTTCGCTTCATCAACAGTCATCAATCTTTTCATGCATGCTCGTCGGTTAAGGGTACTTTTAATTCCGCCTTTCTTTATTATATCGCCAATCTGATCGATCTCGATACATTGTACAGTGGAATAGTGTGCCGTAATGTGCTCTGTCTACCCCTTCGGGGTAGTAGTAGTACGATTATTATCTGTCTAGGGCGCCCTCTACAGACGGTCCCATTCATATCCGCTCTGTATATTTCTTTCGTAATATGCTTTCATCTATCTACATTCACGGTGCAAGCGAAATCCGCCGCAGATGAAACTGAGCAAGCATTTTTTAAGGAGGAAAAATCATCGAATGGTTTATCAGGGAGTGTCAGACTCTTATTGACTAAAAACCACCCCGTTCCTACCCTTGCCCTCCAAGCCAGAGCCCAGCACACCGTTAAGTCCTCCGCGGCTCCGTATCGGCATCAGCCCTATTGGGCCCCATCCATGATGATCTTATGGCTGTTTGAGGCGCGGACTCAAAGAGGGTACTAACCGCTGCAATGGCAGCGAGCCCAAGGCCCAAACTGAGCAAGCATGGTGATCGATCTCACCATGCTTGCTCAGAGCGGATTAGCGATTTGAAACTAGCTGTCAATCTCAATAAACTATCCACCTGATGAACTCGTTAGAGATAAAATTTTTACACATTTCATATAGAGTTTTTTGAAAAAATTAAATTGTAGGTATCTCGTGTACAAATCTTCGCGATATTTCCTCTACCGAGTTCTTTGTCGAAATAAAATTGGAAAGTACGTGTAACCTGGAAAAACCCGTTCTAAAGACGTCATTTTTTTTACTTAAAAAAAAAAACAAGGACATACACACGTGAAACACTATACTCGGAATTTTAATTCGATTCCAGATTTGACAATTTCAGTGTTGCAACGTTATGACAAGTACTAAATAGGGACGTTGCGAAATTATTCGATATGGAAATGCAATATTTCTGGATCGAATCTTCTCGTTTATAATTTTACTCTTGTGAACTAAGTATATCATGAAATTAAATATTTCTGAACCGATCATTTTGTTTTGACGATTAATTAACGATCTGAGGATTTTCTTTTATAATTGTGTGTGAAATAAATAAAAAAATGTAATCATGAAGGAACATGACAAATAAAACAGATAGATGTATTATGGTAATAAGTTTTTTTATAAATTGTCGCCGTCATCGCTATCCTGTCACTTTCTGTAACATTTGTTATAAAACACACACACTGATTATTTATCGATTTTTGTGTTCATCACTACACTATTATATGTGGTATCATTATTTCACAAAATGACAGTAGCTATTGTCAAATCTGGAATCTAATTAAAATTCTGACTATAGT